TGTGCAACCCTTCCACCACCTGCATTCCTGCTCTTGGACATGAGACAGCCCAGAACCCTGAGTCTGTGAGCCGGATCTCGCCTCCAGAAGTTGTGGTGCACATCAGCCATGTCTCCACAATTGCAAGTCACAGAAGGGGCCAGTTTTGCCTGAAGCCCCAGCTCTGTGCACGTGTGTGTGCGCGCGCGCGCGTTTTCACATTAAAGTGCTGTGCATGCATGCATGTCCCGGTGTGTGCATGCATGCACGTGCATCCCTGTTTGTGTCTGTGCTTTGGTGTGTGTGCGCACGAGTGTGGGTGTATTCATGTAGAAGGGCGTACACGTCCATGTGTGTCCATGTCTGCACGTGTCGTGTGTTCATGAGCATGTGCGTGCCTTCCGAGTGGCCATGGTGAAGGTGCATATCTACAATTCGGGCCCCTTGCGTTTCTCACCTGGCTTGGAAGCAGCATAAACTGTCCACCTTCCCCAGCTGTGCGGTGCTGCCCGCGAGGGTTCCGTGATCAGTTCTAGTTACGTCAGGGGACAGCCAGGCGGACTCTGAACACCTGGGGTTCCCAGCTCGCTCTGCTGCGGCATCCAAGGAACTCATTGACAGGGCTCAGCGGTTGGACATTTTGAAAAGAGAGCAAGAAGTTTTAAAAGAGGCTCACCTGGGGGACTGGGTTCTTTCATAATCCACGTAACTTTTATTTTTTATTTTTTTAAAGATTTTAATTTTTTATTTGTCAGAGAAAGAGATAGTACAAGCAGGGGGAGCGGCAGGGAGAGGGAGAAGCAGACTTCCTGCTGAGCAGGGAGCCCAGCGTGGGGCTCCATCCCAGGACCCTGGGATCATGACCTGAGCCGAAGGCAGACGCTTAACCAACTGAACCACCCAGGCGCCCCTATCCACCTAATTTTTAAAAAGAGCTTTATTGGGCGCCTGGGTGGCTCAGTTGGTTAAGCGAGTGCCTTCGGCTCAGGTCATGATCCTGGAGTCCCAGGATCGAGTCCCACATCGGGCTTCCTGCTCGGCAGGGAGTCTGCTTCTCCCTCTGACCCTCTTCCCTCTCGTGCTTTCTATCTCTTGTTCTCTGTCTCTCAAATAAATAAATAAAATCTTTAAAAAAAATAAAAATAAAAATAAAAAGAGCTTTATTAACTGTAATTGATACACTTAAACTGCACTTCTTTAAAGTGTGCGATTTAGTGAGTCGTGACACATGTGAACACTCGTGAACCCACCACCACAACCAATGCCGTAAAGACAGTCATCACCCGATGAGTCTCCCTGGGCTCCTTTGTCATCCCAGCCTGCCCCTCCCTCAAGCAGCCACTGATCTACTTTCTTTCTCTATACTCTGCATTTTCTAGAATTCTACACACATGGAATCATACAGAACAGTGTATACTCTTTTTAAAACTTTATTGAGGTTGAGGCCGCCTGGCTGGTTCGTTCGGAAAAACATACGACTCTTGATCTCGGGGTCGTGGGTTGGAATCCCAGGTTGGACGTAGAGATTACTTAAAAATAAATCAACTTGAAAAAAAACTTTAGTGAGGTGAAAGTCACACAGCATAGAATCCACCATTTTAAAGTGTTGGTGTTGTGCAGCCTCCATCTCTATCTAACTGCGGAACAATTTTATCCCCTACAAGGAAGCCCTGTCTCCATTAGCAGTCACTTCCTACTCCCTCCATCTCCCTCCCCCAGCCCCTGGCAGCCACCAGTCTGCTTTCTGTCTCTATGGATTTGCCTGTTCTGGACGTTTCGTTCAAATGGGATCCTACACTGTGTGGCCTTTTGTGTCTGGCTGCTTTCGCTCAATGCGATGTTTTCAAGGTCCATCCATATTGTAGTGTATATCAGGGCTTCGTTCCTTTTTATGGCTGAGTAATACTCCATTGCATGTAGGGACCACAGTCTACATTCACTCATCAGCTGATAGACACTTGGGTTGTTTCCACCTTTTGGCTGTTGTGAATTGTGCTGCTGTGAACACGCATGTACAAGGATTTCTTTGAACACCTATTTTCAGTTCTTTGAGGTCTATACCTAGGAGCGGAATTGTTGGGTCTGTATGTTTTGTTTTTGTTTTTGTTTGTCCTCTTTCTTTCACTCAGCACACAGATTCTGAGATTGTTTCATGCAGTTTCATGCTGTTGCGAGGAGCAGAGGTTGGTCCCTTCTCCTGGCTGAGTAGTGTTCCATCGTGTGGCCGGTTTGTTCATCCATTCGCTGGTCAATACACATTTGAGTTGTTTCCAGTGTGGAGGTCTTAGAAACAGTGCCACAAAGAACATTCGTGTACTATCCCTGTAGGGACATCTTCATTTTTCTTGAGTAACTCCTAGGAAGGGAACTGCTGGGTCACATGCTAGTTGTATAACCAACTTTTAAAGAAATTGCCTAAGTTATATTCAAAGTAGATGAGCCATGTAATCTAAATAAAGCGTGTCTGCCATATCCTGTGGCTGTTTGAAGACATTTAGCAATGTTTTATCTGTTGATCGCTAATCCCGCCTAAATGAATCAGTCCCAGGGAAATGCTCAGAGGTGTGCATCAAGATGTGTGTCCAAGAACTCAGAAACTAGCTGCCCACTGGTAGCAGAAAGGATCACATGGCTCACGATTTGTGTGTACAGTGACATGCCAGGAAGGCATTAAAAATCATGTTTCAGTGTGTATTTTATGACATGGAGAAACATTGACTTGTACCAACATATCACATAAAGAACAATCCAAGTTTCATTAACATGTATATAACATCTGTTAAACCGGAAGAAAACACACCAAAATTACTTAATTTAGGAGAAAGTTTAAAAAAATAAATATTCCCACCTCCCCCGACCTTCCTACACACCCGCCCACGGGAACTCTTACAACAGCTTCATTATGGGTCGTTTTGTTCAGCCTTGTGCTCCCCCGCCCTCCTAACACTGCGGCAGGACTTGGTTTCCCAGAATCCGAAGCATCTCAGCCTCTAGTGGCCCCTCACACTCCTGCTGCTGAGTCATGCTTCTGTTTAGGGTACAGGTCAGCAAACTTTTTTTCTTTCAGCGAACTTTTTCTGTAAAGGACTGGAAAATAAGTACGTTTGGCTTTCCAGGCCTTAAGGTTACAATCTGTCACGACTAGTCAGTTGTGCTGTTATACCAAAAGCAACCAGAGATGATATGTAAACAAATGGGCTACATTCCAATAAAACTTTATTTACAAAAACAATGGGTGGGCCTTCCCTACCTTCCTCCCTCCTTTCCACCTTCCTGTTGAACAAACTCCTCTTCGTTCTTCAGAACCCCTCTTAGATGTTGCCACTCTCCTGAAGCCTTCTCTGGCTCTCAAGGGTAATAACTTCTCGTTTGTGTGTGGTTGACACACTCTCATATTTGTTTGCATACCAGCTGCTTCTGCTGGACTTTGAACCAAGGTCTGGTTCATCTTTGTATCCTCAGCTGCGCTTAGGTGGCCCACATAGGACCCACGCTGCATTTGTGTCTCTGACTCCAAGATGCAAAATGAACTGTTGGCAGCATTAGCAGCATTTTCTCTTTTTCCTCCAATGTCTTAAAAAGCAAATGCATTGGGCACCTGGGTGGCTCAGTTGGTTAAGCGACTGCCTTCAGCTCAGGTCATGATCCTAGAGTCCCAGGATCGAGTCCCATCGGACTCCCTGCTCAGCGGGGAGTCTGCTTCTCCCTCTGACCCTCCCCCCTCTCGTGCTCTCTCTTGCTCTCATTCTCACTCTCTGAAATAATAAATAAATAAAATCTTAAAAAAAAAAAAAAAAAAACCAGGGGGGCCCGGGGGGGCCGTCGCTGGGGCGTCTGCCTTCGGCTCAGGTCATGATACCGGAGTCCTGGGATCGAGCCCCGCATTGGGCTCTCTGCTCGGCGGGAAGCCTGCTTCTCCCTCTCTCACTCCCCCTGCTTGTGTCCCCTCTCTCACTGTCTGTCTCTCTGTCAAATAAATAAAATCTTTAAAAAAAAAAAAGCAAATGCATTTTTTTTAAAATAAACTTTTTATGTCGGAGTCATTTTAGATCCACAGAAAGTTGCAAAGACAGCACAGAGTCCCCTGTAGCCCTCCCCTAGCTTCCCCAAATCTTAGATCTTATAAACACCTTACCTTATCAGGGCATATTTGTACGACTAAGGGATGGACATCAGTACGCTGCTCTTAACCAGCCTCCTGATGTTATGCGGATGTCACCAGTTCTTCCATTCATGTTCTCTCTCTGGTTGAGGACCCCATCCAGGGAACCCCATTGGATTTAATTGTCACGCCTCCCAGTCTCCTCCTGTCAGTCTTCCTGTGCTGCTTAAGACCTTGGCAGTCTTGGGGAAGACTGGCCAGGTGTCCAGCAGGATGCCCTTGATGTGGGTCTGTCTGATGGTCTTGTCATGATTAGAATGAGGTCGTGGGTTCTAGAAGCAAAGGCACCTCTGAGCAGTCCTCTCAAACGAGTGGGGCTGTCCCTGATAAAGTCCTCCCCCATGGAGTTTCAGAATCCCTGATTTTCAGGGCAGGTTTAGTCTTGCTCAACCCAACATGTCTCCTCTGCCCCTCGTGTGTTTTGGGGACATAACCAAGGCCCACGGGGGAGCTTGGGGAGCTGCTGGGTGAGGTTTTGTCAGAGAGAGGAGGCCAGGAAGGATGTGGGTTGGGAAGGCCTTGACCAAGAGATGGTCATGGCCATTGGACTTGAAAGTCTTAAGAGGCTGACCCTGGGTGGGGTGGGGGGGTGGCAAGAACAGGGGTTGGGATGGAGCAAACTCCAGGGGACGAGTCTGGTCTTGGGGGGCGGGAGGTCTGATGGTGTCACTCTGCAAGAGTCACAAACCTTACGTTGGGGCACATTTAAGGACAGATGGAGAATCCTCTGCCCTTCTTGCTTTTGGAGAGAGCTCTGTTAGGGGCAGAGGATTTCCTTCTGGCCGAGGGGTGGGTGTCAGTGCCATCCCCACTCACCCACCCCCCCACCACTCTGACCTTGCCGCCACCTCCCTTCCAGCTCCAGGACGCGCGCCCCGAGCCCGGGAGGCATGCTGAGGCCAGGCCGCCGGCAGGATGAGTGTGAACGAGGCAGGCAGCTCCGGCCGCGGGGGGCAGGCAGCCTACCACCTGCATATCTACCCGCAGCTGGCCACCAGCGAGAGCCGGGCCTCGTGCCGCGTGACCGCCACCAAGGACAGCACCACTTCCGATGTCATCCAGGATGCCATCGCCAGCCTGCAGCTGGATGGCACCAAGTGCTACGTGCTGGTGGAGGTGAAGGAGACAGGTGGGGAGGAGTGGGTGCTGGATGCCAACGACTCACCCGTGCACCGCGTGCTGCTGTGGCCCCGGCGGGCCCAAGACGAGCACCCGCAGGAGGACGGCTACTACTTCCTGCTGCAGGAGCGCAATGCAGACGGCACCATCAAGTACGTGCACATGCAGCTGGTGTCCCAGGCCACGGCCACCCGGCGCCTGGTGGAGCGCGGCCTCCTGCCCCGGCAGCAGGCAGACTTTGACGATTTATGCAACCTCCCCGAGCTGACCGAGGAGAACCTCCTGAAGAACCTCAAGCACCGCTTCCTGCAGCAGAAGATCTACACGTACGCAGGGAGCATCCTGGTGGCTGTCAATCCCTTCAAGTTCCTCCCCATCTACAACCCCAAGTACGTGAAGATGTATGAGAACCAGCAGCTGGGCAAGCTGGAGCCGCACGTGTTCGCGCTGGCCGACGTGGCCTACTACGCCATGCTCCGGAAGCGGGTCAATCAGTGCATCGTGATCTCGGGTGAGAGTGGCTCGGGCAAGACACAGAGCACCAACTTCCTGATCCACTGCCTCACCGCACTGAGCCAGAAAGGCTATGCCAGTGGTGTCGAGAGGACCATCCTGGGTGCCGGCCCTGTGCTGGAGGTGAGCTGGGCCGTCGGTGGGAGGGGCCCTCTGCCTTAACGCATGGGTTTTATTCTCGTTCAGGTCCAGTGAGACCACTGCCCTCGAGAAGATAGTTGGTTATACTCACTTTCAGTTTCCTAAAAATTGTTGGGGGGGCTGCTCAGCAAGCCACGCAGGGCCACACTGGGAAGCACCAGGGCTGTTGGGGAGACAGCTGGATTAGGGGAAACGTGGGCAGAGTCTCTGCTGTGGTTTTCATGGGAAGGACTGGGTGAGCTGGGGGTGTGCAGGCTTAGGATTGGCTCGGCTGAATAATTCCGGGGATCTGGGAAGTAGGGGTTACCCTGGGCCTGGGGTGATCAGGCAGGAGCTAGTGGCCCAGAGTGCGAGAGCCTGAGAACAGACATGGTGGGGATACGTGCTCCGGAATGGTTGGTTTGCGTACGTAAGGCACACTCACAGGCAAGTCCTTTGCTCTCAACAATTAGCTAGCCCTGGGAGGGGCAGTCCTTTCAAGGTCAGCCAGGTCCACCCAATAGGAAAGCATCAGAATGTAGGGGTGGGGGGAAGGCCTGATTAATACACTATTGATATCTGTGAGGTAGCAGTCTGTACCCCAGTTCCCAGAAAGAAGAGGATGGCGTGTCCAAACTGAGCAATTCATGACCAGGTGTTGTCAGCGATGCAGCCCGTGGTATGGAAGGGAGCCAGCAAGGCAGGGTGCAGACCTAGGGTGTAGGGGACAGTGACGCCGAGGGAGGGGGCCTCCTGGCATCACCATAAAGGCAGTGGGGGCGTAAGTGCCCTCCACCCTCCATCCAGGGTCCCCATTGACCAAACTCCACAGAAGCCATTGATGATGCATCATTGTGGCTGAGCCTTCTGGATGCAGGGGCAGTGGCAATGACCACACAGCATCCCTCACTCTGGGGGTCTTGGGACCAGATGCATCCATGTCTCAGAACATGGTCTGATCGTCATCACCTGGTGAGGGCTGGGACGATGCAGGGGCCCAGGGTCTGTGCCTATGGGTTTGGAGTTCAGGGCTCTGTTCAGTTTTTTCTCTAATTAGATATTATAATAAGTAATTCTAATTAAGTTTTGTTAAATATAATAATAGAAGTTAGTATATTTTTTAGAGCAGGTTAGATTTATAGAGCTATTGAGCAGAGAGTACAGAGTTCCTATATACCCCCCACTCCCCCTCCCCGTGCTTTCCCCATTATTAACATCTTGCATTAGCGTGGTACATTTGTTACAATAGATGAGCCACTATCAACACATGATTATTAACTGAAGTCCATGATTTACACTGGGGTTGGTTCACTCTTGGTGTTGTATATTCCGTGGGTCTGGACAAAGGCACGATGTCACGTATGTACCATGACACTGTCCTACAGAGTAATTCCACTGTCCTCAAGTCCTGGGCACCTCCTATTCATCCCTCCCCACAGCCCCGGCAGCCACGCAGCCTTTTACTGACTCCATAGTTTTGCCTTTTCCCCAGTGCCATAGAGCTGGATTCATCCTGGCCATAGCCTTTTAAGACCAGCTCCTTTCACTTAGTAACATACATTTCAGGTTCCTTATTGGCCCCAGAGCTCATTTCTTTATCTTGCTGAGTAACGCCGCATCCTCTGGGTGTGCTGTAATCTGTCCATCCACAGGACCCCAGACTGTCCTTTCACGGGATAAGGGGTAGGGGACCTACCCACCCCAAAGCGTTAGCCCCTGGCCTCCGGCCGATCCCCTCCACCCCAAGCTGAAGGCCTGAAGCAGCCACCTTGCTGCCGTGCAAATTCACTGAAAGCCTATCTGGGCTCTGCCCTGCTGAGTACATTTCAGTTCCTTTTCCTCTCTGATGATCTCTGAGATCATCAGCAAGAAATTAATTGGGATTGTACAGTCTGGCCCTACGTATAGCCAGCCTGTTTCTGCTATATATGTATGTATATATTGTGCAAACATTTTTTTTAAAGATTTTATTTATTTATTTGAGAGAGAGAGAGAGAATGAGAGATAGAGAGCACGAGAGGAAAGAGGGTCAGAGGGAGAAGCAGACTCCCTGCTGAGCGGGGAGCCCGATGTGGGACTCGATCCCGGGACTCCAGGATCATGACCTGAGCTGAAGGCAGTCGCTTAACCAACTGAGCCACCCAGGCGCCCTATATTGTGCAAACATTTTAAAAACTGTGGAATAATCAGGCACAGAGTGTGTTTTTCTCTTCAATGCTATGTACCCTGCATGTCTTGTCTCCTTTGTTTTGATCATCTGTGCCTTTTACAAATATTCCGTGAGCATGTCTGCCATGTGCCAGGCACCGTTCTAGGCCCTGGGCTACGTGGCGGCCCAAATCTACACAAAGGCCTGCCCTCGCAGAGCAGTCGCCCCCCAAGGAGAAAGGTTTAAGGGAGCAGGAGGTGAGAGGTGACACTGAGCTGGGCCCAGAAGGGGGTCAGGTGAGCCAGCACAAAGGGTGGGAGGCTAGGCTGTGCCTCGAGGGCTGGAAGAAAGGCAGGGGGCCTGGAGGGTACAAGATGGGGCCAGAGCAGAGTAAGCAAGGGGCAGAACGGGAGGCAGTGGGGACAGGGAGGTGTTAGGGAGGTGATGGACGATCATTTGGGATCTTGTGAGCTACGGGGTTTGTGTGATATGGGAGCTTACACAGGGCATCGGTAGATTGATCTGATGCCCTCCCAGCTCCAGAACTCAGCCTCAGTGAAGCTGCCTCGAAGCACCAGTTAGGGGCCACGGCAGGTGCTCTAGGCCAAAGCCTGGCACCACAGTCCCAGATGAAATGGAGCACGTCAGTGAGGTCAGACGTGCGTGAACAAGAGGGCGGATCCGGCATTTGCCAAATCAAGTGTTCTGCCAAGTGGACCATTTACCCTTCACCGAACCAGGCAGGCACGTGGCTGTGTCCATGTTCCATGTGGACTCTGAGCCCAGAGGTCTCAACACAACACGGTGAAGAGGCGGGTTTGGCACCATGGTGCTATTTCCTTTTCTGGCTGAGGACCAGCCAGGGCAGCGGGCTGAGATCCGATGGCTCCCATGACAAATGACCACAAACTGGGTGGCTTCAAACAACAGAAACCTCTTCTCTGACAGAAGTGAGTTCAAGGGGTCAGCAGAGCCGTGCCCCCTCTGAAGGCCCTGGGGGAGGATCCTCCCTCACCTCTTCCCACTTCTAGAGGCTCTACCATTCCTTGGCTCTTGGCCCTACCACCCCAATTTCTGCCTCTGGTCCCGTGGCCTTCTCTTATAAAGACATCAGTCATTGGATTTAGGGCCCGCCCTAATCCAGGATGACCTCATCCTCACTAATTACATCAGCAAAGACCCCATTTCCAAATAAGGCTCCGCTCATAGGGGTCTGAACATGGACGTCCTTGGTGACAAGTCTGCCCACAGCAAGCCCCTGTGGAGCGAGTGATGGTTGGCAGCGAGCTGGTAGCAGCATCCGTGCCTTCTTCCCCGAGGGCCACCCCTGCCCCTGGTGGTCCTGGGAGCTCCTCCCCTGAAGCTGCCCCAAGGGATTCTGGCACATTCTTCCAGGGCCATTAGTCACCCTTCTTGCCTGGTGTCTGCACCTCGTGAGTCAGATGCCTCTGACCCCGCCCGGCTGCCTCCCTCCAGCCTCCGCAGTGTGAGCGGGCAAGGCTGAATTTCCCCAGCGGTTAGGGTAGGAGCTGCTGGAGGGCGGTGCCCACGCCGGCCTCCAAAACAGACTGGAGCCAAGTCCACGTCATAGCCATAAACGTGCTTCCTGGGGCGACCGTTTGGAAAGGGAGAAGATTGTTTTAGTTTAGAGCTGGGCTTCTCGGCCAGAGCACCACTGACGTCTGGGGCCGGGCCATTCCCTGGCGGGGCCGTCCTACACACTGCAGGATGCTGAGCCATACTCCTGGCCTCCACCCACCAGATACCAGCAGCGCCACACACACACACATGCCCCCCCGTGTGACAACCGAAAATGTCCCCAGACATCACTCGGTGTCCCCTGGGGCAGATTATTCCCCAGGTGAGAACGACTGTCTTAGAGTCACAGCTCTGGATTCCACGAGACCAAGTCTTCTTTCCAGCGCGGACCGTTTAGAAATTGTTCCCAAGTTCCAGCCATTCTGAGCTAAGCCAAGAGTCACTTTCTAATAACAGGAATAATTTGTTATTGTGCCTTTGGGTCCAGTTTCCATCTTTCTGTGTCCTTACAACACCTCTGCCCATTTTAAAGATGAAGAATGAGAGGCATGCTGGTGTGCAAGTGTCCTGGGGCTGCCTTCACAAAGTACCACAAACAAGGGTGGGGGTGGGTGGGGGTGCTTAAAACAAACAGGAATTGATTCTGTCACGGCCCTGGAGGTCAGAAGTCTGAAATCAAGTTGTGGGTGTGGTGGGATCCTTCTGGAGGCTCTGAGGGAGAATCTGTCCCAGGCCCCTCTCCAGGCTTCTGATGGCCACCAACAGCCCTTCAGTGTTGATCGCTCAGCTTGTGGTAGCATCTCTCCGATCTCTGTCTCTACCTGCACATGGCCTTCTTCCCTTTGTGTCTCTGTGTCTCTAACTTCCTTCCTTATATAAGGACACTTGTTACTGGATTCAGGGCCCACCATAAATCCAGGGTGGTCTCACCTTGGTATCCTTATTCTAGTTACATTTGCAGAAACCCTGTTTCCAAATAAGGTCCCCTTCATGATGGGTTCCAGGGATCAGGACCTGGGCATATCTTTTGAAGGGACACAAGTCAACCCACTGCCATCTCGGTTCCCCAGGCCACACCACAGGCAGCCATGGCTGGACCATGGTGGGAACCTGGCTTGGGTCTGAGCCTGAGTTCATGGTACCTCTCTATGGTCTTCATGAAAGATTTCCTCTCTCACCTTGTCCAGGGCCGACGAAGGCCCAAGATCAACACCTCTTGTAGCATTTGGGACTTTTTCTCAGCTCCCTGAAAGGAGAAGTTGAGTTGTTTTGAGGTTTGGGTGTCATCAGGCTGCCCCCACCCCCACCACCCCCG